ATCCATCGGTATTATCCACACTCAAGACAATTTTTATCACATTTCGCGGACACAGTTACAGAAAATATGTAGCTCCACATGCGATGATGAATCTCATGAAGGAATGCGTCTTCTACCATAAATAATTTATTTAATATAAATTTAATAGAAATGTAATTTGAATGTCGGTGCATTTATGTCAAGAAATTAACAATTTTCTTAAAACTAACTTTTTCAGTCGTTATAAATATTATGTCTGATGGGCTGGCTCTGTCTTTGAGTTGAATGGAAAACTGCTTGAAGCTAAGGGAACAGCTTCCACCGAAATGTCGTTGCTTATAATTTGTTTCCAAACAACCTTAACAAAAATTCCCCCAATCGGAATTTAATGCACGATTGCCACACCATATTTCAGAACAGTTCCCACGTGATCTTTCTTTCACTCATGCGCACAGAACACCGGACAACGTGCTATTATAACGTAATACATTTTATTACATCAAAGTGGAGGGAGAGGTTATGACAATTTTAAAACGCTGTCAAATGACTTGTGTTCCGCACTAGCTAACTTTCGTACACTTCATTAAGCCATTACCTTCGGTCAGAATAATAAATTTAATCACACACTTTCTTTGGCGAGATAAGCGTGTATTGTTAGAGATATGCGCCCATGACAATATTTCCCTCTTTTAGCAATACACTTTCAAAAAAAATTTGTCCCATCAAAAATATTTCTAGAGAGGTTCTGCTGGACGTAAAACAGACTCAGACAAAAATCAAACGAATTTCTGAGGGATTTCTGGCTCTTGCACAAACAAGTGTGAAGAAATTTGTCTTCTGGGAAGTTTTTGGAGCTGCTTACCAACTCCGTCAACAGATGGCAGGAGACTGCGTGGTCAAACACGGCAAGAGACAGTCATTTTGAAATAAACTTCGATCAAAAATGGGAACATGAGACTAGCCTAAGACTTTGATGAAAGCGGAAGATTATGGCGATGCTGATGTGCCGAAAGCCAGACACTTCCTGCCCAAGAGAGTGCCTCTGATCAAAGAAACTTAGTCAAAGAGCTTCTTATTAATGCAGTCACAGCTTACGTCTGATTAGCATTTCCAAGTCATTCGCCCTCTGCTTTAAAGATTCACCTTGACCGCAACATCGCCCTACCTGCGTTCATTCTACCCCCTTCCTCTCACCCAATTTGCGCGTTGTATTCAAGTCCCTGATTAGCAGTAAGAACCTCTGAAACGTTGCTCAGTTTCTACGTCACTACACGGCGCAGCATCAGCAAGATCGCGGTTACCTTGACCGGAAATGATTCACTTCCTAATGCTTTTCGAAAGTAACACATTGTGATTGTACAGTCCTGAACAATAAAAAAAAGAAACAAACCATCGATTTTCCATGTCATCGAAATATGCGACTTGGGATCCGAAGTGGCCCTTGTCAAAATATCTACTGATAACGAAGATCGTGTTGTCGAACACTTCTGCTTTTAAATAATCTGAATAGAAGTTCATGTCAGGGATTTCGGTCCACGTGTCTTCTGCAGGGACGTACTTTTCGGTACTGAGCTCGTCTGATGTCCTGTTGAGTCCTCCTGCACACACAAATTCCGTAATAGGCCACAGCATATAAAAAAGCTGCCAAAGGGAACTTATTCTAACCCCATTGAGCTGGGCCCCTCTTGATATTTGTAACTCTGTCACCTGGCCACGAAATGTGTGGCCTTTATGAAGCCACAAGTTTCATTACCTTATTCACAAAAGTCGATAGTTGACCTATTTTCACATACTCTAGATCCTTAAAAACATTTTAATATTATCCTTCCTTTTAAAACTATGTATCACAAGTGGTATTTTACCTTCAACATTAATAATTATAACTTTCTAGATGTTTGTATTTATCGTAAGTTCAATGCTTCACACTCCGCCCGTCTTACCCAACGGAAGTTAAGCTCTTAAAATTTGTAATTCCATAAACGGAACGAACGAATGAAATGCAACGAAGAAAAATTCATTTCCTTTTGCAGTGTTAATATTAATAGCAGGAACGAAATTAAATATTATTTTTGTAATTGTAGCATCAGGCAATTTCGCCTGACATCTGTTTTCTGCTTCATGAAACTACGTGCGAAAGTAGCCTTAAATATCAACAACACAAGAGCCACTGTTCAAAACGGCGTTACACAAACAAGTAACGAATATCAAAGACTGCGAAGGGACTGCTTTAAACCATCGGATTTTTGGGGATAACAGCGCGACGAAACTGAAATTTCCTTGCTACAAGAACAAAATATTTACCTGTAAAACTGGGGCATAAATTACTTGAAATACCACAAGAGATTATGCGTTGTTAGTTAGTTAGTTAAGTGTTCTTTGTGGAGAATTTAATCGAAATCACGAATCGGGTGTAAAATTACTGACATATTAACTCTATATACGAGGCGCGTCCCAAAAGTAAGTTTCCCACTCGTCCCACAGCTAGCAAACCTTATATTGCGCGAAGCGACTGTGCGTACATGATAGAGCAATGACGTAGCATGGCGCATGCACTAACGGCACTTCCCGCGTTCTCACAGTAGCATCGTTGCAGCTGTTGAAGATGGAGGTTCTTATTCCAGCTCCCGCCGACTGTGAAGTGTGGTCAGTGATAACGCTAGGCCGCACACGGCTCGACGGACAGCAAGTCTCCTGCAGGAGTTCAGCTGGGAGGTGTTTAATCATCCACCCTACAGCCCGGACCTCGCTCCCAGTGATTTCCATCTTTTCCTACACCTCAAGAAATTCCTGTCCGGTCAGCGTCAGCGTTTTGAGAATGACAGAGAGGCGGAGATGGTTGTCACACAGTGGTTCCAATCCCAGGCGGCAGACTTCTACGACACAGGTATTCAAAAGTTGGTCCCACGGTATGACAAATGTCTCAATTCCGGTGGAGAATGTGTTGAAAAATAGCTGGACACTTGTTGTATCTGTTGCAATAAATATTTCCATGAAATTGTGTTTTGTTTCTGTAAACGGCCCCAGGGAAACTTACTTTTGGGACGCGCCTCGTAGACAGGAGAAAAATGCTGTTCATAAAATCTCAATCACTCAAAGAAAACCGGAAGACATTTCACAATAGAGATTTCTGGAAGAAGGATAGAGGAACATCACTCGGAATGTCCAGAGTTTTCACCTAGGGCGTACAGACAGCCGTGGAACGCGACGCAAGAAAAACTTTGACGTCCAGATAGCATTGGTGTAACGAACGTCCATCGGTTGGTGTCCGGGTCATAAACTTCCACCGAGTTTAGAGAATTCTTTTCGTCACATCCACCAGCGACGTATATTTTGTCTGTAAAAATTAGCTATAATTAAAGTGGTCCATGCAGAGCACAGACATGGGACAATCCGTACTTAAATTTGTAAATCTATTAAGTCCCCCTTCGTGTCACAGAAACTGCACAGACACGGCCGTCTCTGTTCATCTGTTTCTTTGTTTCGAATGCAGACAGTCAGCCTGTCAAAGGAAACGAGTTTAACTGATAAAATTTAATATAAACAGCATAAACTGCTGAAATTAATGCATAATGTAAATGATGGTAAGTTACATCTTCTGTGAAACGGGTTTTATCAAATTTGGTACCAAAGATGTACGGTACGAGCTGCTAAAAGGTGCTCTACATTTATAATACAATTTGCTATTTACATGAGATTATTAACCGTCTCAAAAACATATTAAATCTATATTATATGAGAGCCAGTTTGATAGTTTGATGGTTGTTTGCACTCACTCCGAGTGCACACTACAAAGGCAGAAGACCATGTCGAGGGACAGCTTACAAGAACAGAAGGAACCATCACGCACTCAGAACTTCCAGCCGTTGCAGTCCGTGAAATAACGTAGTAAGCAGCACGGATAAAAGAATTGGTTATTAAAGGATTTTGGGTTAATGGAGTGGGGGAAACTAAGATCAAGTTGAAGAGGAATGCCTTGATGATGAAGACGTAAACTTCTTCTGAAACGTCGGTAAAAGCCAAACGACAGCCAAATTCGTACTAGCAACGTGATAACCTCGAATCCTGAGATTCCTTCAACCGTTCTTGCGTTGTCACACGCGGACAGACAGACAGACGCCTCGCCTTCTGCACTAAGTCACACATTTCTTTTTCACAGCATTTACGTACCATTCAGTACAGCCGCACTTGCATTGCGTCGCCCTGTGTTCATGGGAGCGATCAAAGACCACTGGTTCGCCTTGCACTCGTATCTTTCAGCCGTTCTGCGATAATCATAATAATTGTAACCGCCCGTGGCGTACACTGCGCCTCGCAGAACTGCCACACTTAAACTGAATCTGAAACGAAAAAAGTACACGATCTGCTACACTCATTTAATGCTGATTCAGATCCATTTCCTCTCGAAGAACGCAATTGTTAGCTTGTCATTATTGAATCATAATTCAGGTTAACAAGCAAATCGCATTCTTAAAACCAACATTGTCGCAAAAGTCCTACCTATTTACACTTTGCACGATACTCCTGTGTGTGAGTGGTACAATTTTAAAGCCCCTGCCCAGATTTATAACTTGACTAACAGAGCGACTATCAGCTTTTGAAGAAGGACTCTGCTCCAAGGAGTTCCTTAGTTACCGATCTACATCTTACCTGCATTCATGCATAGGCGCCACCTTGCGGCATGTCTTCGTAAGAGCGTTGAAGCAGCGACATGAGCTTAATGATTTCCTGTCATCACAACCACCGATGACGTAAATGTCGAAACCGATCACTGCCGTGCCATGGTTCATTCGAGGACCGATCGAGTCGAACCCCTCCACCTGCAGGAACGACAGGTAATGGTTTTACGTTTCTTTGGGTCACTTGGTCTACTGATGTGAAGTCCTTACATTAGAGTCGAAGCGACCAACCACCGGAGCAGAGGTGCAACCCCCAACAGTGGACCGAAATTGCTACACCGTGGAGGGAGGCACTCGACAAAGACCGTGAGAAATTAACTTGGAGCAATCGTGGAATTATAAGAGAGACGGAGGAAACAGGAATACCCGAAGAGAAGCTCAAACATTACCAGTGCCCTCGTCAAATACGACAGACAAATGTAGAATTAATTTCTGGTCAACAGCTGACATTTCAGGTTCGTACGATGGCAAAGACAGATTTTGGTGTTTTGGGGTATTCGACGCAAATCTGGAGGCAGTACGTCCCCCACTCCACCCCAAACAGCATGTCAGCCTTCTAATTCACGAGGCGTTACTACGCAGATGGCCAATATCCCCACTGAGCAGTGCTTCTTTTATTACGTTGAAATCCACTGACGATCAACGATGACTAAAATCAGCAGACAGTTTGCCATGACAGTTGATGTAGGACGCTTATTGTAAATGGTATTTAAGGCAAACTTCACATCCTTGGTCGATTCCTATTAGAACTTACATTTTACACGAGACTCAGCATTTGAGTAATTTATTTATTTATTCTTTTTAATTCATGTCTTTGGAGCTCCTCTTAAAAAAGTATTTAGTGCAATTTAAATAAGCGAACACGAAATAAAGAGGCGAGGAGGTGCTTGTGATTAAGCTTAAATAAACACTTACCCAGTAAAAGTAAGCAAAAAAGAGGAAAAGTAGTTTTTCTCGGAGGCGTCATTTAACAAGGTACGGTAAGAGTAGAAATGCGTGCAACTCACCACACTCCACCGGTCTGCTCGTGCGTCGTACGCTTCGATCACATCTGTCGGCCTTCTATCACGACACCCACCAATAGCAAACAGAAAATCCTGAGGGATTCGCGGGCGGGCAATCCTTGGTGTCACGAATTCCTCGTCTTCCTTCGTCAACCTTTCCACGTCGTCCAGGAATTTGAGCGTCTCCGAGATCAAGGGTCTGCACGCCTCGTTTTCAGTCACGTAAGGGTGATTTGACACCTGTTGAACAGTACAATGTCGACCTTGTGAACTCTTAGGAAGGGATGGCATGTTCCAATGCTGATGAGATAAGAAATTCACACATAATTTGGTTGGGAACTCACCGAAATCTACTATGGTATATAAAGAAAACTATGTTTTTGGTTTATGTAACGACGCTGTAACGACGCACTTAATAAATACACAGGTTGTTGAGAGAAGCGAAGTCAAGTTTAAATCAATCTTAGAGAAAACTATTGAAATGTGTTTCAACCGAAAGTTAAATACTTCAGTAAGGGTTGCATTTTGAGTTACATTCAAAAATTGTAATTCATTTTTCGTCTCTCCCGTGCGAGATGCGCGCTGCGATCACCACATTCTTTTTGATTCGATAACTTTAATTAGTCGTCAAAATTCCGTAACATCAAAAGGAATTTATGTCAGTTAGTTGCTTCGAGTTTCAAGGGAGGCAACCTGCTGAATGTAGATGTTTGGGTGGAAGGCCCGTCAACACAACAGCGTGTGGTTATGGGCTCGATGTCTGTTAAGAGCCATTGCATGTTTCGACCTTAATTGGTCATTATCAAGTAATTCTCTTTAAGTTTTCGAAACTAGTAGATACGAATGATAAGATGTAAAGACATTTGAAGAAGATAACATTTTCATGAATCCGTGCGATTGTTTGACAAATATTAGTAAGGGGTGAGTGGCTGAAAACACAGGGCATTTGACCCAGAATGGACACATTTTTCCTCTGGGGTTAAAGAGAATGCCGAAATGGAAGTAATAATCTCATAAGTTGTAAGGTTGGTTTGTGAGAGTACGTTTAACATATTAGAATGTTAAAGCTGTCTGTGAATTTGAAGCCCCTTGGGTATTTTCCTCTTGGATATATTAGAAAGCTATCTTGCTGCACTTTTCGGATATCTGTTGTCCCTATGTGGTCAATCAGTTGACGATTATCACTCTGAAGTGATCTCGGGTTGATTATATATATCGTCAGAGATATGCTTCTTATGGCAGTAGGATATTTGGGTAAGTAGAACGCTTCGCTAGAAGACGTGATTTATCTGTTAGAGGATTTTAATATTCAAGCTATGTGGGCGTTTCAATGTAGTTAACGGTGGAATGCTGTAGTTGAACTGAAACATGTAATCGATCTTAATAAACGCTGAGACTGTAATAAAAAATTGTAGCGCCGACGGACTGTCAAACTTACAGACGATGAATAAAAGGCGATTATTAACTCCACTCCCATATCTGCATGAAAGGACTAATCGAATATTTGTTTTGCACATACACACATACGAAGTGCGATCGAAAAGTTTATAGACTGCGCGTATAAAAACCCGTACACTTATCTCAGGTATTAAATTCATCCATCACCCTCGAAGTAGTTCCCCTGGGAGTGAACACAACGATCCCAGCGCCGCTGCCAAGCCTGGAAGCATCCCTGGAAATCTTTCTTTGTCAGCCTGCCAAGCACCATCTGCGATTCTGTCTGAATCTCTTCTATCGTCTCAAATCTAATTCCCTTTAGCTGAAATTTCATCTTTGGGAAGAGGAAGAAGTCACACGGAGCTAAATCCGG